ATTCTTAAATAAGAAAATTCTTTTGAAGCAGTTTACACGGTTCAAGATATCAAGTTATGTGTGCTCATCTGTATGCAGCTAGAAACCATCTGCTTCATTAAGATAAACAACAGAAAAATTCTTGACTTTCATATTCTTTCAGTAAGAACCCTCCGGACAGGTGTGATTTCTCTCCGTACTGTACCACCTGCAACTTGCTCTTCAGTTTCTTTTGAGTTAAAAACGAAACAGTTTGTTCAGTTGGTGAAATCTTCATGAAGCTGAACAATTTGTCATCTGGGCTGTTACAGAACTTCTAGCAAGGAAAGCAATACATTTGCAAGTAAAATGAACAGGAAACTGCTAATTAGGCATCCCCAAACAACCATGTGTTTTCCCAGGAACAGCATGAAAATTTTTGTAAAGATAAGTAAATAACAAAAATAATAATAAAGTTTGTTAGTGAATAGTTCCCCAAGGACACACATTAAAAAACATAGTAAGTTATATCAATGCACGCGCTAATGGATCAGCTTTGGGTATGCGTCTTGAGGCTTGCTACGTTGACTTGGATAGAGTCCCGAAGAGAAGCTGACTTGCATCTTGCATGAATAAATTCCTAATTAGCTGCCCAGTCCTGAAGCTTTTCCAATTAACAAATAGCTTGATCTGAGGGCCTGGACAAGGCATGGAACTTTCAGCCAAAGAATGTATTAAAATTGTAGAACCAGACGATTTTGAAAACACGTTCTGAACAGAAATCTTTATTCAAAATACATACGCTAAAAATTGTATATTCAATCTTGTATAGAGATGATTATTTCATTCCTAACATTTCTTTGAAATGAAACAATACTATCACTAATAAATCATAAATTTCCCTTCCAGATTTTTTCTGGATGTTATACTAGATGCTATATTTTTTCTAGATGCTATACTAAGAACAAGTATGATTGATATTTATCTACAGATATTTATTTACAGTCACTCAGCAGTCTATTATGGTATTTTTTTTACTCACATTCACATTTCTATTATACTTCTGAATACCTGTATAAATGAGAAAATGGCTGAATCATGTTCCAAGCCACAATCTCAAATATTAACCTGAAAACATTTAAATACTGATGAAGCTTGGCTTTGACATACAAACAAAAATAAAGATTATACACACACACACAAATTCCAAACTAGCCATTATTATGCAAAACTCTACACATTGTATCATGTACAGTTGTATGAGAGCAGTGATTGTTAAATGCCTCACCCCCTGAACACTGCTACAGATCCAAATGTGGCTGAAATAATTAATTTCCATTGGTGATGCCAAATCTCTAAGGAAGATACAACCAAGATTCTTCTTCCAGAAATATGCAATACTTAACATTCTGGCTGTGAAAGGTTTCAGCCATCTGATATGCAAAACGCATTATGTAGAAGGTGCTCTATATACCAACACAGCATCCCATCAGATACCGAGTCTGCTCTAGGCTCTTTATCCAAACAAGAACCATATAATTTGTACAATAAGATTTATTGTATCATGACATTTAAACTTCCTTATGAGGGGAATGGGCCCTGCCCTATTTCTAAAGTCTAAAATCTTAGAAAAAAAAATAATTGCTCAAGAAAAAATTGTGATGCCCCAAGGTAGTAGTTTTCACAATTGCGTGTGTATCACAATCACCGAGAGAACACAAATTTGGAAGCCCAGCCCCAGGGTTTCTGATTCAGTACAGGTCTGAGGTGGGGACCTG